TTTTTAAGCTCAAAAAAGGGGGTCGTATTATACATGAGATCGTATTACACATGAATAAATATGGTATGTCACATTATCAGCTTGTGAAAGAGCTATATATTTGTAAAAATCCCCAAAACAATTTACTTCTCATCTTGACAGTTTCTAAYCYVCTTGAAATAGGTCTCTGTCTCTTTAAGAAAATCCAACCACTTCGGTCATGCCCATTTCAGCACGTAGCCTGCTGAAGTTGCGGAGCGGGGGAAAGGAGGGAGGGAGGGGAGGGGTGCGCTCTGCCATGAGGAAGTTTGGCTTAAAGACACTTCTCAGAGGCATTTCTGATCCCTAAAGGCGTTTCTGGTCCTCAKCTGTTGTTTTGCTCCTCAGCATGGCTGCCTAAAAACGCTGCAGGATTTCTCAAACATGCATGATTGAGTCAAAGCAAGGCTTTGGGCATGGTTTTTATGAGATTATATAACATTATAAAATGATATAAAACTCAAAAATGTTGATTTTACATGATATTGCCCCTTTAAACCCTTCAAAATGTTCAGAAATCTTTATTTCACTGTTTACCTTTTGTTCTAGGTCTATGTACTTTAACCTACTCCATGGGCTTCTTTTTGTTGATTTAGGCGTTTTTCTTTTTTTTAGTAATCATTCTGGCCTTTTCTGACACTCTTCTACTAATATAAACCAATGTGCTTCTTTCTACTAATTTAAGATTTGTGTGCTTCTTTCAGCTGCTTTAAGTTATTGTCTGCTGTTTTCTCTGTTTTAGCTACTTATTAGCAAATTTCAGCTAATTTAGGCTTTTTTTCAGCTAAATTCACCTTGTYTTGATCATTTCAGTTTCTTACTGCTTAATTCAGCAAATGTGCCTTTCTGTTTGTTCTAATTTCAGCTATTTTTAACTATTTCAGAGCAAATTGTAATTTGCACTTCTTTTCTTGTTTTTTATTATTTTGATAATTTGAAAAATGTTACACTTATTATCCCATCTAGTGTCATCTACTTTTAATTTAGCTTCTTTTTTTCTTTTGCTATGTACAGATTTTTTGACACTTTTTTGCAGATTATTA